AGGGTCATTTCGGGCGCTGGCAAGGCCCTCTCGGCTGCCTGACCCGCGGGGATCCTGCCAGTTCACCTATTAGCACAGCCTCCTGTGAGATGAGCGCTCCTCTCACGGTGAGTTAACGCCGGATTAGATTCGGAGATTTCAAGGAAATTCCAAGTGGAACGAATCGCGTTTTCCTTCTGCTCGCTGCAAAGCCAGACTGGAGGAAGGCGCCAGGCTTTGGCAGCCTCCAGTTGGGTGCCCTGCTCGAGTCTGTGCCGGTTGAAGGTTAGGGAGTTGCTCCAGGGCTGGGGGGAGCCTTCCGGAGCCTAGTTCCCTTTAGGCAACCTGGAATCCAGATTCTCCAGCCACGGGTCCCCTATTTAACAAAGGCTGCAGAGACCCGGCTGGAGAGAAGGCGAGCATTCCGGCGAGCATGTCCGCGTCTGCCACGGAGGGCTGAGTGGCCTGGCAAGCAGAGGAAGGATGATCTAGGCAACCAGGCTGGCTGCGGACAGGTCAGATTCTCTTTGTGTCAGTTTCCAAAGTAATCCACCAAGCTATAGGGAAATTTGTGCAAAGAAGTCACCTGCTCTGGACCCAGCCTAAACGATTCCTCACCATTTGGGGCCTGTAACCAAATGGTTTTCAGTCCATGGTGACTCCAGCACCTTCCACAGCCTTTTCCAGCTGGACTGCAGCCTGACTCTGGGGAGGCTCTGATATTCCAGACTATGCCCCTGAACAGATGAGTTGGGGGCAACACTCTGAGAGGTGGGCAAGCCCTTGGCTCAGCAAAGGAGTGACTGGGGAGACAAGATGGTGAGGACCAGGCCCTGCAGGATTTCCTGGCTAGCAGGAATCCACAGGCCTTCACTACCTCCTCCAGCTCAGAGCTCCCTGGCCGGTGGGGAGATAGCATCTGACCTAGTGGTCTCTGGCTGTGCATCAGCAGGGAGAACGCAGCTCCTTCCAGGTTCAAGTTATCCAATTGCTAATGTCTGTGCCTCCTTGTCTAGCCTTCAATCTGCCCCTTCCTTGGGAAATGTTCCCTCCCATTTTCAATCTCCCTGGTAGCACAGTGGGGGCTGGGCTCCAGCCAGCTAGCTCCAGAGCTGGTGCAAGCTTTGAGCCTTGGCTTTCTGGAAATGCTCTCTATTCTGATGTCCAAAGATGTTTGCTTGCATAATGTAGGCCTGCTCTGGGGCCCAACTGTCTGGCAGTGGAGGTGGAGGTATAGTAAATCCTGGGAGGTGGCTGGGGTGGTAGGGGCTCAGACCAAGTTCCACCTCCTCATCTTCTTTCCCGTCCCTGGTCAGTTTCTTCCAGTATCTCTACCTGCCTCTACCTCTTATCTCCATCATTTCAAAGCAGGGTAGCATCTGTGGGGAGGAACAGGCAAGAAATGGGTTTCTGAGTGTATCTCAAAACCCAGTCAAGTCTCTTCATTCTTATTAGTACCATAGCCTCCTGCCCCCCTCTTGAGATGTTTCCCTCCCCCAGTATCTTTGCCAGTTCTAGAGCACTTTTATTGTCAGTGTCCTGAGTGTTGCCTGCATCTTTAGCTACACCCATTTTACAGAATATGATACTGAGATCAGAGAGACAAAAGGACTAATAGGAAGTTCACATGGTTCTTGGGTCTCTCAGATTGTCTGAAAAAAGCATAAAAATGATGCTTCCAAGGATTCATGGAAGGAGATAGAGGGACTCAGATTCCAGAGAGAGGGCAATGAACTGTGTAAGTGAGTACACCATGTGCAAAGTTCTCTCTCTGTCTAGTCCAACCGTGTCTGCATCCACAGCCCAGCTGGCCATGTGTGCCAATATCTGTCTATGCTTGGAGAGTCCATTAGGGAGATTCCATCTCTCTTTCTCTGTGCTCCTGTTTGTCTGTCTCTGCACCCTTTCATTCTTTTTCTCTGATGCATCTAAAAGGAGTTTCAACGATCCTGTGGGTTCTGAAGTTCAATCTGTGGCTGAGTCAGCAAATATCCATCCCCTAGCACCCTATGCTCAGCCATCATCTTTAAGATATGGGCAGGGCTCCTGGTGGGCAGCATGCTGTTGTCAGAGCCTGAGGAGCATCTGTGGAGGGTAGCCCCTTCCAGACCAGAGCCACAAAGGCCCCAGGGGATCTGCAATTCAATCCTTTTCTTCCTAGGCAAGCCCTGCTCAATCTGCCCTGTAGGTGCTAGTCTATTTCCTATGTATCTGTGGGTCTGTTTCCTGGTGTCCACTTCATTTGTTTGCAAGTGTCTCTATATCAGTCTCTCTTAAATTCCACCTGCCCTGAAAAGTGTAGCTGAGCACCCATCTTCCCCAGGCACCCTTCCTTCCATGGGATATTCCTTGACTGTGAAGTCCACAGGAAGTAGAGGCTGGGACTTGGGTTCTCCAAGGAATTCCAAGGTTGGAGCCTCTGAAAACAAAAGTCCCTTTCACAGGAGTCCCCAGTCCCAGAGGCTCCCTTCCTGGGCTTCCTCCATTTTTTCTTCTTGTTGCTTCCTGCTGTATATCACATTCCCTTTTCTTTTCTTGGCCTGTTTTAGCTTCTCCATTCTTTTTTCTTCTCTGCCTGCCTAGCCTGCTGCTTCCTTTTCAGGTTCTCTCTCCTTACTGTCTGTCTCATTTAGTTCCCACCCTTGCACTTTTCTTCGCAGCCTCTTTTTTCCTCTTTGCATTCCCTGTCCTGACTCCCTTCTCTAAGACTTTGAGCTTTACTTCTTCCCAATCCCGGAGTAAGTGACCTTCCTTAGGCCACAGTTGTAATCTTATTATTACCTTCAAAGAGCTCTATTGGCTATGAGTGTGACTAAGGCAGAGAAGGCCAAGTGGACTTGGGGATTTTCCAGGAATTTGAGTGGGTAAGAGGCTCCCAGGTCACCCTGGATCTGGTGTCAGCTCTGGACCTGTGGATCAGTCTCTGGAAGAGCATTAGCAACTCAGCCTTGTGGTCAAGGATAGAGGGTTTGGGGACTGCTACCACCTAGAGAGATTAGGTTCTAGAAGACCCCCCCTTTTTAAATCTAAGATACAAAATAGCTTTCAAATCTTATAAATATCCTGCAAGACTGCTTTTGGAAAAAAGCAGTCCAAAATTTAAGTCCTCTGAAAGTTGGCACTGTGTTTTAGGCAGAAAGTCTCAATTGCCAGTGATATAGGGAATAGGTTATTACAGATGGGCCATAATGCTTGGACTCCCAGATCATATCAAAAGTGTTCTAGGTGTTTTAACTCTCTGTGCTCTTTGTCTTTTGTCCTCCCATATGAGCTCATACCAATTTTGGATTTACTTTCTTTTACTTAAATCAAGCCTGGTCTCGAAAGATCTGTACAACCTGTTTTTATTAGCTTTTTCCAGCCCCAGAACAAAGCCTTATAAAGGCTCTTGACCAGGGTTGCTGTAGTCTTTCTGTTTTAGGTAGACTATCCAGTTATGTATAATTTTGGAGGAGTGGGCTGGGACTGCAAAATCTTATTGGGAATAATTTTCTCTTTTCTTATATCTACAGTGTTTTAGAATAATCAAAACCAATTAAAGCTCATTTTGAAAATCAGAGAGAAATTCAGCTTAGAACTAGAACTTAGTATTGAAGTTATCTACAAAATTATGTTTTTCCTTGAAATAAGCCTGAACTTGGAAAATTTGGAATATATTCATGGGAAACTTCAGTGGATGGCATGGGCGGGTTTTTAGGAAATAGATTATGTTCTGATTGTTTCTGCACTCTCTGTAACATATGCTATTCATGACCCTGAGAAGTATTTGAGTACTGGGGAAAATAGCCAAGAAGAGGCAGCTATTTTATAATCTTAGAATAGGAGTGTATATGTGTGTGTGACCTCTGACATGTCTTGGCTTCCCTTGTATAGTCCAGTCCCCACCCAATCCTGGTTTAGGGAAGGTTTCCTCTTCCTTGGCTTCTGAGCTACTAACAACTTTAGCAAATGCTTGGATTTGGCTTTCGGTTCCAGTCTTCAGCAAAGTCAGTTAGTGGCCGATTAATAACTGTAAGGTCAATTCTGTTGTTATAATGGATTACTTTATCTTTACTAGTGGTTTTACTTAGGTTTTCATTTTCCTTCCATCCCCGTTTCCCTCCAGATGGATCTTGATGCAAGAAAAAGAAGCATATAGGTGGAGGAGGCACTTTCCCAGACTTCATTTACTTAAAATCTATCCCAGAGCCCTTGTAAAAGCTGGGACTCAATGATTTCTTTGGCTTCTTTATTTTCCCCTGAACCAAATTAAAGCTGTATGTCAATTGTAAAATACTCCAGAAATTCTAGGGAAACTCTTTTATAACAAATCCAAATACAGTGGAGTGGAATGTGCTATATGTAGAAGATCCTATGATACCTTTCTTTTGTGTGTTCTGAGCAGGTACAGTGGTCTAGTCTGCATGTCAGCTTTATCTTCCTAAAGGAAGGATTTTTAACAAGGCAGTGGTTGGGTTTCTTCTCATTAGTCTTCATGTGATGTCTAAATTTTTTTTTTAAAATCCTTAGCCCTTGAATTATATTTATAACTAAATTTTGTTTCTGAGATATAGGTTTATTGAAGTAGTTCCTTTCACTTTTAAAGATAATTGTTAAAAGGAAAACAGTTTCCTTTTTTTTCTCTTTAAATTTGATATATTTTAAAACATATTTTATCCCTAGGATCTTCCTTAGACTTCAACATCATGTAAGTTATGCCCCGTTAGTATAGATTGGGGTTTTTTTTTGTTTAAAAAAAAAAAAATTATAAGGAAAATGCTCGTAACTAAAGGAAACATAGTATGGGGATGCTTGCGGTCAATAGCTCAGTTGACTGGCTGCAGATGTACAAAGACGAAGATTAATTTTAAGAAGCAATCTGGGGTCCTTGTGTGACCTGCACAATAGGACTGTAGGCATAAGACATCCAGCCTGCCGGTCACTTGTGATCAGAGAAGTGCTGGGTGCTCATAATGATGTTTCTACTGTATGACGGGTTCTAACCACTCTTTCCCTTTCCTTCTGTTTCTGATCTGTTTCAGGACATGGAGGAGTGAATCAGCTTGGGGGGGTTTTTGTGAATGGACGGCCACTCCCGGATGTAGTCCGCCAAAGGATAGTGGAACTTGCTCATCAAGGGGTCAGGCCCTGCGACATCTCCAGGCAGCTTCGGGTCAGCCATGGTTGTGTCAGCAAAATTCTTGGCAGGTAAAGGCAGGAGCTCCAGGCTTCCCTTGATCTTTCAAATAAAGACCTAAAACATGACCCTGCAGCTATGAAATGTGCCAGTGTCATAGTGAGAATCATGGCAGTATTTTGCTCAGCATGCATAGTACTTTAGAGTTTGCTAAACTTTTTAGAGGCCATCCAATTCAAAGTAGTCCTGGGAAACCCCTGTATCAAGTGGCATGTGGAATAGGGTGACCCAGTTAGGAGGGATGACATGTTTTCTGAAAGCCTGATGAATTGTTCCAAAGAACTCAAGAGTAAGAGGCTCTTGGGAATTTCCCCTACATATCTTACATCAGTGAGGGGCCTGAGCTGGACTGGGTGGAAAAATCTTTAGATTGTAATATCACACAACCAGAGTTCAACATTTCATTTCAATGTTTTTAAAAAGCACTCTCTGCTTTTAAAAGTCAGCTGTCATTTTCAGTTTTGGGCTATTTGCAGCCTTATTAGGCTGTAGTATTTTCCTGGTCTGTGTTTTGTTTCCTTCATAGTGACAGGCACCCTAAATGTATATTAAATTAGAGAGGAGGAAACAAACAAACAAACAAACACTAACTCTCAAATCTGACATTTGAAAGTTGCCACTTGACCTGGCGATTTGCTGCAAGCAAAATACTAACAATGACGATTCTCCCAGAGGGTTGTACAACCTTTTAGCACTTGGTTTATTCTCTCAGTAACCTCAGCATGATCCAGTAAAGCACGTTTTGAGTTGAGGAAACAAACATAAGGAGGTGAAGTGACTGACCCAGGTAGGCCTAAAGGACCCCTAGGCCAGCCTTGTCTCACTACACCCCTGAAACAAAGCCACGGGTTTGTTTGCTGGCCGGTGATGTGGTTCTAGGTATGCCAGGGCAGGAAAGAGCATTTCTTGGGTTTAGCTGTTCTTTTCTTTCCTTTTCTTTCCCTGGGTCAGAAAACAACCTATGTCCTGTATCTTGCATTATGGCTTACAAACAGATACCTGAAGAGAACATAAACATTTTGAAGTCCATTAGTGACACCGTGACTTTCTTCTTGCTCCTTTCCTTTCATCTGCTGGAATTCAAGAAATTCTCTCAGATGGAGGGAGCAACAGTTTCTAATAAACTTGAGGAGCCTTGCTTGAGACCTAGGGAAGACAGTTCAGGGACAGGGGTCTGGCAGGTCCTTTAGGCATCTCAATCTCCGTGTTTATTGCACATTCTCTGTCCCAGTGCTGGTCCTTTCAGCTGTAAGAGCTGTAGTTTCCACTCATGTTTAACACTCAGGAATCATAGGGTACCAACATGGTGTTCTTGTTAGATAGCTGTTTTAGGCAAGCGGATGAGAGAGAGGGAAGAGAGGGAAAAAGTAAAAGAGGGTGGAGAAAGGAGAAAAAGAAAAAAAATCATTTTAAAAAGAAATAGAAAGAAATAGAGAAATGAGAAGTGAAGACACACAAAATAGAAGGAGGGAGAAAGAGAAAGAATAGAGAAATATTTTAGTGAATTTCAGCATCAGACTTCTAGGGCTAAATGGCTCCTAGATATCTTTTTGTGGGGCCTCTTTATTGTACTGAAGGAGAGGGAGAGAGAGAGAAAAAGAAGGCCTTTCCTTTGTTTTTGCTTGTGACATCTTTGCTGAGCCGACATTTTGCTCACTATTTGAAATCTCAGGGTATAAGACACTGATTCATTTTTAGAGGGGACATCCAAATGCGGGTCCTTCCTCATGTTCTAGTGCTCTAGAGACTTCCAAATTTCCCATGGAGACTGAGTGGGACAGGGACCCTTCCAAGCCCAGCTGGCAGCCTCCCCTGGCCCGGAATAGACTTGTCACTAGGTAGTGTGGCACTTGGAAGTTATGTGCCGCTCCGGTGCCTGGCCGTTTAAGTTGTCAACAATAAATTGGAATTTCATAGCTCATTATTTTCATAACTAAGAACCACAGTGGACAAAATGTCATTCTAATTAGAACTGCCTTTTAAGAAGCAAGTTCAGCCCTAAAACAGAGTGACTGGGGATTTCTGAACTGGGGCTGTTTGATCCACAGATTTTCTGCTTTTTTTTTTTTTTGGTCACTGAAGAATTTGATGGGTACACAGGAGGTGACAGATTGCAGAGAGCGTGTGGTGTATAGTGGCTGTGTAGCAAGGCAGGCAAAGTCCCTGGGGCAGGCAGGAACCCCCGTCATCTCAGGAAGGTGGGCGGTCTGCCAGGAGTGTGAGTATTCAGTCCATAGAGCTCAAGACTTCAGAGGGGCTTGAGAGGTATAGCTCAGTGGCATGTGAGGCCAAGTTAAACTCACCCAGAGCTTGGCTGTTGTCTTTTTTCACGGGAGCCTGGTTGGGAGGTTCAGGTCATTTGGAATTGGGTGGTATGTTACATAGGAATAATAAGCCCTTGGGGGTTTTAATCCTCAGCACATGCTCTTTATTTTATATTTTGCTAAGCTTCTTCTTTCTTTTTCTTTTTTTTTTTTAACAATGTATAACATCTATTTATTACTTGAAGTAAAAACCAGGGATGAGGAGCAAGTCAGAAGGAATCTAGGGAATAGGAAAAGGGAGTGGACAAAGCTTTTTCTTAACTTTCCTTATTTCTGTCTTTACAATAGCGTATAAGGGAAGCACAGCACACATCCTTCCTCTATTACATAAATGGGATAACTGAGGCCTAGAGAGGCCAAGTGAGTTGGCTAAGATCACACAGCCAGTTAATGTCAGAGCCACTGACTAACACCTACACCTCTTGACTTATAAACTAATGCTCTCTGACTGAACGGTACTGTGTGTTGGTGGGTTGTTGTTCATCTTTTGTTTGTGAAGCCAAAGGGCTGCATGGCTGTTTTGGTGAGATGAAAGGATAGTTGTCATTAAATCTGAATCCTCACTTGACACTGTTGGGGTCTCAGGAGTGTCAGGGTTGCCTTCACAGTGCCTGGCCCATGTGTCAGTCAAAAGAAAGACAGAGCCCTCTCATGTCAGGACCACAGCCTCCCCTGGTTGGCACTGCTCAGGTGGGATGGCGAGGGAGGCCTGTGCTGCCACGAACTAACCGTGTAACTGAGGGCTGGAGGCAGGGGCTTCAACCTGTTGCCCTCTCAGAGCTGCGGTGTGACTATTGCCATCCCATTCAACCAACATGTTTGAGTTTCCAGCCCAGGGTTGTCTCTGTAACTCCTTCGCTGAGATTATGCCTGCCCTAACAGATGCTTGGTGACGATTGATTGAGGGACTGACTGAATGAAAAGTGCATACGAAAATACCCGGTAAACAGTAAAGTGTTTGACAATTGCAAGGGATCACTAGAATGACTATTTTAAATTTTATAATCAAAGTAGCAATTCGCTGTATCAGGAAGAACATGGGATTCAGAGTCAGATTTGAAAGCTGGGGCTGCCTCTAACTTACAGAAGAGGGTTGGGCACGTCACTTAGTCTTCTGATCATTTATTTTCCCTTCTATAAAGCCCTGTAGCCTCACAGGATTAGTGTGAGGATCAAGATAATTTGAGGAAGAGCTCTGTATACTTTGGAGTGTTGTGCCTTAATAACGAGTTATGTTATGGTAAAAATTGACTTTCTATTGTAAAATTGATGGGACAATTGGAGGCTGCAGAGATTGTGGTGTGCCCTGATTTAAGTACTTTTCTAGACTTCTGGTGAAAAATAGTATTTTCTTGGATTTTTAAAAGAACTGTTTGTGAGTAATGAGTTTTTCAGCAATTACAGGAAAATTGCTGAAAGCGATTTTTTAGAAGGAGGGAGGATAGGTTGGGTTTTGCCTTATGGTCAAAATTTGTAAATGACTCACTCTTCTCAATGAAAAATAGAATTTTCACTTCCACATCATTGCTCTCAAATTATTTCATCTTTTCTAGAATATTCACTAACTTGGCCCTCTCCAGACTTACTCAGATGAGAATTTTAGAATCTCTGTAACTGTGACTAGTCATTGTTCCTGGGTAACATTCCCCACCTGTCTCAGAATCGCCTCATTCTCTTACCTATTATAAACTCTTTTTGGGTTTAAAAATTACTAGCCATTTCCAAAATGTCTTTTTGGTTAAAAAAAAAATTCAACTGCAAGATAACCTTTTATGGAAGAGGAACTCAAGAAGTCCTCTATAAATATTGAGAAAGACATCCAGTGACGGCTCGGATTCAGAAAAGGAATCAAGTCATTTTTTTTCCCCTGAAATGATCTTTCATGGCACTCTCCTCCCCGGTCTCGGTTTTACTGTAAAACCCTGACATCCTATTTTCATTAACGAGGAAAAGCTGATAGCATGGAAATGTCCTTAGAAACAGCCATTTACTTCAGGGGAGGTCCCTGGAAGAGCTGCCACGACTTGTGGTTGGTTTTTCCGATTGCTTAGCTTTTGACTTACAACACACATTTCCAGTTAATTCTGGAATTCAATAATCCTTTTAATTTTACACGAGGGTTATTATTTTTCTCTTATAGGAAAACAAGTTGCATCTTGGGGGGCAATTTCACAGAGTGCTGGGGATTCTGCTCCAGAGTGGGGGAGCCGACAAGTTAAAGTATAAGCCACCTTGCTGGGAAAATTTTAGTTCAAGAGGCTGGGCCACAGTCCTGGCATGGCCGCTGGATCTGTGTGACCCTAGGGAAGTCGTTTAAGCTCTATAAACCTCAGTTTTAGACTGGCAGATGAGGACCTACTCATTTATTTGCTCATTAATTCATTCAAAACAATTTATGTGAATTTAGAACAATTTAGAATTGTTGAAGATCAAATGGGAAAACAGACTTGAAAATTTTCCATCTAAAATGGTAGATGAATGTGAAAGAACTTAGTTAATGTACAGCCTCCTATCAGCCCTGTCCATTAGAAATATAATGTGAGGCTTGGCACCCGTAGCACAGTGGTTATAGCACCAGCCACTACACCGAGGGCGATGGGTTTGAACCCAGCCCAGGCCAGCTAAAAAACGACAACTGTGACAAGAAACAGCTGGGGGTTGTGGCGGCACCTGTAGTCCCAGCTACTTGGGAGACTGAGGCCAGAGCGTCACTTAAGCCCAAGAGTTGAGGTTGCTGTGAGCTGTGATGACATGGCATTCTACCGAGGGTGACACAGTGAGACTCTGTCTCAAAAAAATATATATATGTATAATGTGAGTGAGTCATTTATGCAATTTAAAGTTTTCTAGTAGCACATTAAGAAAAGTAAAAAGAAACAGGCACCATTAACTTTAATTATTTATTTTATTTAACCCAATATATAAAAATTATCATTTCAACATATAACCAATAGAAAAATTATTGAGCTATTTTCCATTTTTTTGTACTAAATTTAAAAAATCTGGTGTGTGTTTCATGTTTATAGCACATCTTGATTCAGACCAGATACATTTTTTTTTTTTTTTCTGAGACAGGGTCTCATTCTGACACCTGGGTTAGAGCGCAGTGGCATCATCATAGCTCACTGCAACCTCAAACTCCTGGCCTCAGTTGATTGTCCTACCTCAGCCTTTTAAGTAGCTGGGACTATAAGCACATACCACTACATGCTATTTTTTCTCAGTTTTTGTAGAGATGGGGTTTCTCTGCGTTGCAAGCTGGTCTTGAACTCCTGGGCTCATGTGATCCTCCTGCCTTGGCTTCCCAAGTGCTGGGATTATAGGTGTGAGCTACTGTGCCCAGACTAACCACATTTCAGATGTTCAAAAGCCACATGTGGCTGGTGTTTACTGAACATGCGGACCTGGATGTTTCCTGGAGAGAATAGCCTATTATTTTGTTGCCAGTTTCCCATGGCTAAGTTCTTTTCTCCTTGGGTCCTAGGTACTATGAGACTGGAAGCATCAAGCCTGGGGTAATTGGAGGATCCAAACCAAAGGTCGCCACGCCCAAAGTGGTGGAAAAAATTGCTGAGTATAAACGCCAAAATCCTACCATGTTTGCCTGGGAGATCAGGGACCGGCTGCTGGCGGAGCGAGTGTGTGACAATGACACGGTGCCTAGCGTCAGTTCCATCAACAGGTGAGCAGCTAGTGCCTGTGGGTGTCTAGGGACCTGGGGGGCAGTGGGGTCCTGGAGGTTCTGGGCATGCCTCCCCTGAAATCTAGTCTCTTCTTTCCCCCAAGGCCCTTCATGGCTTATTGGACAGGAGGGGATGCTAATGAGGCCTGTTGGGAGGTTTCTGCTAACTTTCCTTTCTTCTCACCAAAGTGGCCTGGAGTCCTAGGCCTGGGGAAAAGGGGCCATGCCAACACTCTGGCTGCTTGAGACTCTTCTGAGGCCAGAGTGATTTCTATCGCTCCTTTCACTACCCACCTATATGTGTGGAGCACATTGAAGTGAATTGTTCTAACTGTGCCTTTATAAATACCACTATCCCTGTAAGCCTGAGTTCTAGGTCTTAGCACTGGCTCATCTCAGAGGTTCCCAGGAAGACAATCCTGCCTCTAGGGATTGGGCAGAGATTGAGCCAGTGAGTAAGTGGAACAGAGCCCTGAGTTGGAATTGGGAGACTTGCCTCCATGTTCCAGCTCTGCCACGAGCTTGACTTGGGACTTTGATGAGGCGCTTCCTCTCTCTAAGAATGTGTGCCCCTGGTGGCTCTGATGCAGGTCTTCAGCCTCCAGAGGTGTTGTCCAGGATGCTAAGATGCTCCAGAACTAGGGGATTACCCTTTCCTCAACTCCCCCATGTCTTTTACACATGGAGAGAAAGAACCAGAGAAACACCGTAGGTGGATCTTCCTGGGGGCCACAATGGCTCCCTCTCCTCCCTGTTGTGATCCAAGATATAACAAAGGCCACTCTCTGAGCTTTAAAAATAAATGCCTGGAGGAATGCTTTCTATGGTGCATTTTCAACTCCATTTAAACCCAAAGTCAGGGATGCAGTTGTGAGAGGAACGGAAATGATTGTTCTTAAACTCTGCAGAAAAAGGAGAATCCAGCAGACTGAAAATTTGAACAGTTTGATTTCTCCAAGGTCATTCCCTACCAACACCCATACAAAGTCTGTCTGGGCACAGGGCACACTCACCCTCAGCAGAAAAACGTGGTCAGACTAGAAGTCTCTGAGATCCCCTCTAGCCCTGGCAGTTTTTTCTGTAATGGCTCAAGTGTAGACTCACCATGTGTGTCATGTCAACATTTTAAATACTGCTGTTTCCTAAACAGCAAACCTTTACAGAGGTCCTGACATCATGCAAGGTGTGGAGGGAATTGAGGGGAATCAGGCACACAGTTCTCAGTCTCTCCTAGAGGGGCTCCTCATCCAGGGTGGGATTCAGACATGCACTTGGAAGTCTGGACCACCTGCACAAAATTCCTGAGGAGTTAGTAATGTTTATGGTGAGTTTTGGAAAAATAACTTCTATTATTTTTCTGGATTATGGGGCCCCAGTATGTTTTGTGAGTCCTCTATGTCTGGCTTGTTGTAGAATTTCCACAATACATGGCTCAGCACCCGTAGCTCAGCAGTTAGGGTGCCAGCCACCTGTACTGGGACTGGTGGGTTTGAACCCCACCCCAGCCTTCTAAACAAACAAAAAGGTAGCCAGATGTTGTGGTGGGTGCCTGTAGCCCCAGATACAAGGGAGGCTGAGGCAAGAGAATCACTTGAGCCCAAGAGTTTGAGGTTGCTGTGAGCTGTGATGCCACAGCACTCTCCCAAGGGCAACATAGTGAGACTCTGTCTCAAAAAAAAAAAAAATGAATTTCCATGATACACAGTGACATGACAGGCAGTTGGTGCTCTGCAGAGGACCCTCGGCCAAACCCCTGGCTGGTCAGGCTTCAGGGACCCACAGGTTTCCCAGTGTAGGGAACACATGTAATTGGTGAGCTGTGAGATAACTTTAGGTTGTCCTTGGGGATCACAAACTCTAATGCCTTACATGGGGCCAGGCAGATATGATAATGAAGGAAGCGGGCCAGGCATGAGACATGTGCCACTGTTTCCCATTCTTCAAGAGAAGCTTGAAACCAGGACTTTTGTATACATATATATGTATGTTTGTGTATGTGAAATCTCTCTCTCTCTTTCTCTCTGAGAGACAGTCTTACTCTGTTCCCTGGGCTAGAGTGCTGTGGTATCATCATAGCTCTCAAATTCCTAGGCTCAAGTGATCCTCCTTGCTCAGCCTCCTGAGCACCATCATGCCCAGCTAATTTTCCCTATTTTTTGTAGAGATGTGTCTCTCTCTCTCTCTTGCTCAGGTTGGTCTTGGACTCCTGGTCTCAAGCAATTTCTGAACTTGGCCTCCCAGAGTGCTAGGATTACAGGAGTGAGTGATCACACCTGGCCAAAATCTCTATATTTTTAAATGGAGGTAACTAATTTCAATTAAAAAATGCCTTATGGGACAATCATAACCCATTCATAGAGTGCAGGGTTATGTCCTCCATAATGTAAGGATGAAACTATTTTATGATGAATTTGTTTTAATGTATTTTGGAAAAATAGAAATACTACAACAAACCAGTGAGTTTGTGAACATTTGAATCCACTTGATATGACCCTTATTTATAGTAGGGAACTACAATTGCCTTATAAAATATATTTATTTAAGTCAAAAAGTAAGTTATGTGAAAGAAACCTATGAAGCAAATAGAGGAGTGGTTACAGATGTGGCAAAGGCTTTGAGAGATGTGGAGTGAATGGCCCAAGGACATTACCAATCCATGATACTCTCTGCCTGGAGCTGGGCCATGCACATGTTCTGAGCGTTAGCTTCCACAGCCATGCTAGCCTCAGGGGCTTCCAGTGTCCTGGTCCAAAGCTGTGGCCACTCTGGCTGTGCCGCTAAGATTTTTTCACACTTGTGGTCTCCTATGGTCATCAAGGCCTGACTCTATCCTGTGACAGGAGCAGAAACTGGGGCCAGACGGGGAGTGCAGGGGAAAGTTACTTTGAGATAGAGATGGGAGTAGAGCTCAGGTCTCCGGAGGAAGAGGGCTAGTCTCTTTCCACTGCTGTCTTGTAGGACTCTGCGAGTGGCAGGACTGAGGATCTGTGAGAAGAGAAGCAAGGGGAGAGTTAAAGGATCTTTTCCATTTCAGTTTCTCACCGGCGGTGTGTTTTGCTGCCTGTCTGCTCATTCCCTCTCATCCTTGGCCCTTCCTAGTGCTCCTTTCTGGGGGCTTCTCTTGGGAGCATTTGCTGACTCCTCATTGCCCTCTTCAGTGATAGCTCACTTAGTGGGAGACAATCTCCTGCCATGGCATTGCCCACCCCTCACCCCCAGAGAGCCTGAGCCAGCCCAGCATCCAGCTGTATTTTCCATGTGAAGGCAAAGCTCCCATTACATTCTGATGGATGCAGTTTCTGAGTACTTGCCTTTTCAATGTCAGGATGTAAGAGGGTCTACAGCTCTCTTCCAGCCCCTACCTCCCTTGGAAGAAACTTCCCACTCTTCCCCTATTTCAAACAGCTAGGGAGGGAGTGGTGACTAGATTTGTAGCTCTTCTGGTGGCCACCGGGTGTCCACTGTCCACCCCTAGAAGTGTGTGCTTTTTCTGCTGTCTTCAGTGGGACTGACTTGGGAGACCACAACTGACAAGGGATTAAACAACACTCAACTAGTTCTGCTAGGTTTGTGAGAGATTTCCTGAGAACAAACCACTATATTCATTTGACTTTTTTTTTTTTTGAGACAGAGTCTCACTTTCTCACCGTAGGTAGAGTACCACAGCACCTCAAATTCTTGGGCTCAAGTGATCCTTTTGCCTCAGCCTCCCAAGTAGCTGGGACTACAGGCACCTGCCACAATGCCTGGCTATTTTTAGAGGTAGGGTCTTGCTGTTGATCAGGCTATTCTCGAACTCTTGGGCTCAGGTGATCCACTCATCTTGGCCTCCCAGAGTGCTAGGATTACGAGCATGAGCCACCTTGCCTGGCCCTCTCATTTGACTTCTTAAAGACATGTGTGGTGGGCTGCTGTGCAACCCACATGAGGGATTCTTGGGATCCAGTCTGAGTGTTAGGTGGAGGTGGCCATTCCAGAATTGACCCAAATAGTGGGTGGAAGGGAGTCTTATGGCTCTGAATCCAGGGCCAAATGGTGGGGACTACAAGTGGCATTCCCAGTTTAGAGGGTCAGCTGTATTTAGCACAAACTGGCTATTGTCATGTGATTCCAATTTTTCAAAAGCTAGAAATCAGGTATTATTTATGAGAAGTCTCCTAACTTGCAAATATTAATAACTCATTCAAATAAAAATAAACATAGTGTATAGGCCAAACAAAACTTGTTCGGAGCTGGCTGTGGGTGGGAAAGATAATCTGTTAATTCTGGTCTTAATTCTAATTTCAGTGATAAACCCTTTGAGATGATTTACATGTCCCCTATTTCTTCTCCATGAGAGTTTCAGGCTTGGGTGCCACCTGTGGGCCCCATCCCACCTTGGCTGATTTGGACTCTTGTTTTTTTGGTTGTCAGCATAGCTGATGGACAAGCTTCTTACTGCACCAGTGACAGTTTGATCAGTGCCATAGACACGGGTGTTTCTTCAGCCTTATCTCCCCATTTCCTTTTTCAAGGGAACATGATTTTTCTCTTTCAGTGTAATTTTGTGAAGGATAATGGGAGATGGTAGTGAGAAGACCTAGCCTTTCAAAGGAAGGGGAGTGATGCTTACCTGGGATTCTTAAATGTCTGTAATACATAAAATTCTTCAGAATTTTTTAAATTTATTGTTTAATTTTTATTAAATCATAAACACAGAGACCATGTATACATTAATGCATTTATGGGGTGCAATGTACTGTTTTCATATAAAACTCTTCAGAATTTTAAGTCTTAAATTCTAAATGGATTTTGAATCCAAATAGGCATTGTGGTTCATATAGGAAGCATTTAGCAGAGAGATCACTTTCCTTTGAAGGTGGCTCAAAAAAAAAAAGTGCTCAGGCATGAGAACTGGGAGTCTGGGCTGATTTACTATGTGATCCCAAGTGAGTCACTTGAGCACTCAGGGCTTTAATTTCCTTATCCATAGGTGCAGTTTGATTTCTGAGCTCTCTCCAATGTTGAACAATCTAGGATGTTCATACAGTATGACATCCACCGTCATGCTCTTAACTCAGCAACGTAAAGGATATGCTTTTTAGAGTTGACTGTCAGTTTACCCCAACTATCTCTGGCTTAGAAGAAGTCTTGAGTGTGCTCTTACTGTGGCAAGTCTTGATGATAACTTGCGTTTTATTTTTATTTTTATTTTTTTAAAAATTGCTATGATTCAATTACAGTCTTCTTGTTTCCACTACTATTTCTTTTTGATGGAAGATGATACTCTTTGTTTTTACTTGGCAGCTGCTGCAAGCAGATGGGCATAATCTCTCACCCCTGCAGACAGCTTTGGAGAGTTCTCTATGATTCTGGGATTCTTTATAATGGGTAGCCCCACTGCAGCTTTGAAGTAGGGTGTGAGGATGGCAACTTTTCCCACCCTATCTTCCAGTGGGACCTCATGTGCTTTTTAAAGCAAATGTAAAAAATATGAACTTTTAAAGATTGAAGCTATCAGGCCAGGCGAGGTGGCTGATGCCTGTAATCTTAACACTCTGGGGGGCCAAGATGGGTGAATTGCTTGAGGTCACGAGTTTGAGACCGGCCTGAGCCAGAGAGAGACCCTGTCTTTAAAAACTAGCTGGGTATTGTGGCAGGAACCTGTAGTTCCAGCTACTTGGGAGGCTGAGGCAAGAATATCACTTGAGCCCAGGAGTTTGAGGTTGCGGTGAGCTATGAGGCCACAGTACTCTACTGAGGGTGACAAAGTGTGACTCTGTCTCAAAAAAAAAAAAATTAAAGGTTGAAACTGTCATTAATCTTTATGAACACACCACTGAAAATAATACCTAACATTTATTGAGCACTTACTATGAAGTATCCACTATTCTAAGCAGATAATTTAATCGTAATAATAACTCTAAGAGATAGGACTGATTCTTAGTCCCATTTTGCTGATAAAGAAACAGAAATAGAGAAGTAATTTAGCCAAGGTCATGTAGTTGGTAAATTGCAAGGATGGAATTCAAACTCTAGTAGTTTGGTTCCAGAGAGTGTACCTTTAATTGCTATGCTACAATTGCCTATCAGTGATTTATAACAATTAATAATGCTTTACTAGTGATATCTATAAACATTTTTAAAAGAGGAAAACACCATTTTCTTTTCTTTTCTTATGTACAGATTTAATAGGCATACATTGCTTTGAAAAGTTGAGACTTTGGCTCGGCGCCTGTGGCTCAAGCGGCTAAGGCGCCAGCCACATACACCTAAGGTGGCGGGTTCGAATCCCCAGCCCGGGCCCGCCAAACAACAATGACGGCTGCAACCAAAAAAATGGCCGGGCGTTGTGGCAGGCGCCTGTAGTCTCGGCTACTTGGGAGGCTGAGGCAGGAGACTCGCTTGAGCCCAGGAGTTGGAGGTTGCTGTGAGCTGTGATGCCATGACACTCTACCCAGGGGGATAGCTTGAAGCTCTGTCTCAAAAAAAAAAAAAAGAAAAGTTGAGACTTTAAGCTGAACTATAGTGATATTATGTATATTTTGCCATATATTTATATATGAATAAACTATATTTATTATCTGATATATCTATATATTCACACACCTAGCATCATATCTCTGCAGACACAGAGAAGGTGACATATATAAAAATACAAAACTTAGATCAGATGCCAGCTTAATACCCAGGTGATCAAAAGGACTACCTAATCTCCGAGTCTTTGTCCAATATGTTTCAGTGTGCTTAGTCAAAATAAAACTTTTGTGTTTTGGAGAAAACAAATAATAAACACCCTGAGTGTATTTGAGGCAACATTTAAGGATAAAAGCCCCTTTTGGATATTTCTAAACATGCATAGGAATGTTGGCATAGTGAAATACACTAAATTGTGGTCTTAGATGTTTTTATACTTTTCCATGCTGTCCAAATAGGCTACAGTGAGCACATATTACTTTTCTAACGAGGACAACACTTTAATAAATGTCCTTTTAAAGGATAATAGGTTGAGGCTGGAATAGAACTTTTCCAAAGGAGCTGAACATATGCTTCTGACCCCCTCTTCTTCCAAATGCCAGGGAAGGAGAACTTTCTTGTAGATCCCAAGGGACTTTTGGCTTGTTCTGTTGCTCTGAGATTCACTGGGCCTGTGGTGTCATAGAGGCCTCATACATTGTCCCAGCTGGAAATCTGCAGCCTAAGCTCCCTAGAGCCCAAGGACACATAAAAGGACATCAGAGGTGCCAGGTGGCAAAAGGAAGGCGGTACAGCTGTTACCCCTTTTATATAGGCTTTCTCATAGGATTTTTTTTTTGGAGGGGAGGAAGAATTTGATTACTTAAAACAAGCAAAGAGTGATCAGTTTCAACTCCTTCATTGTATTGAAGCTCCCAATGGCATGGACTTGCTCAAGGTCACAGTCAAATTTGTAGTAGAACTTAAGCAAGGTTTCCAGAAAGACAGGCTATGATGCCCCCAGCTCCAGTCCTGTGTATCCTTTCTGTGATATTTTCTGCCAGGGGGTCTTTCTCTTAGCAAAGCCAAGCTGGATGTCTCCTGGAAGGGCACATTAACCTTCCCTAGTTTCAGAGTGACACATACATCCCTCCCTTGGCAATTTCCTGTGGGCAGTGGTGTTACTCCTCCTTACCAGTTCTCTATAAGGCAGACAAACCAGCATGTAAGAGCTATTGGAAGACAGAGAGGTCACCTGTTTCAATTTTGTCATTCCACAGATTGGAGGTAGAGGTCTAGGGAAAAGAAAGAACTCCTTAAAGTCACTCAGTGAGTCCTGTATGCAGCTGGAGCTATACCTAAGAAAGGGATGCCTACTCGTAACAGTAACACATCACCACATCACCCCCTTTCTTGAGAAGAGACAATTGAAGCCTAGAAAAGGGACACAAATTACCCAAAGACTCCCAGAAAGATAGGGGTGTGTTAGGACTAGTTCGTAATTCTTCCAACTTTCTGATGCCCAATATGAGTTCATTATCTTGTCCCAACCTCTGCCCCAGCTTGATCGATGGCCCAGCTTGGGAATGGGTTTTCTGGTTGCCTGTGCATAGCTGGCTGGGTGAGGTCTCTTCTCTTACCTCATGGTAAATAGCCATTTTTTTTCCCCAACTACCCACAGGATCATCCGGACAAAAGTACAGCAGCCACCCAACCAGCCAGTCCCAGCTTCCAGTCACAGCATAGGTAAGAAGAACTTTTTTAAAAAAATTTTTAAATCTAATGGGCTCCAAATATTCTAAAGAACTTTTAATCATTCTTATGGACAGATAATTCTGCATAAAACACTTCGGCACACGTACTAATGCGCCTTCTTTGTCATTCTCCAAGGGCTGAACCTGGTAAATGAATTTTATAAATACTGCTAAAAGGTTTTGAATTTTACTGATTATTATGATAAATAGCTTTCACCATGAGACAGAAAATTGAAATCTAAGCCAAAAAAAAAAAAATCCACTAATGGGGGTCTATAGAATGTCAGATAATTAAAGTAATAAATCAAGAAAGGGATACTTATTCATAACATTTTCTGCATCATTAGTCAGTAAGTAGTTTTGAATGTGTTTTTTTCTTCTATCAACCAGCCCTTCTACAATTCTTTATACACTTGCAGTCTTGAGTGAAGATGTGGCAAAAGTTCCCAAACTTTCTTTCTCTCTCTCTTGCTTCGATCTCACGTTCTCTGTGAACTGTCAAGGGTTGCCAGTGGGGCTTCTGGCGCCCACAGGTGAAGTCTGAGAGTGACTGTTACTTATAAGTGTGAGAGTTACATTTCCTATCACTTGAGAGGTCAGAAATTTCTCTTGCTTTCCTTCCCATGATTGGGAAGTGAAAATGACAAGTGTCTCTCTCAGGTGTATTATTTTTTCACTTGGGATAAAGGAAACACTTCTGGTTAGCTGGAGGAAAAGTTATTCTGCTATAAGAAAGTGGGCGACCATTCAGCAAGTCTCTTGATGGTTCTGGTTGCCAAAGCCAATTCTGCATAATCTTAGCTCAGGTTGTGTAACATTTCTGCACCTTGGTCACTCCGTCTTTAACTGAAAACTTGAACTTCCCATAGTGATGGGGAACAGACAGAGGCCTGACTTAGAGTTTCAACTCTGTCATTAACTCTGAATGAACTGTGAAATTCCCTTCACCTCCCTGAGCCTCAGTTTCTCCTTTTGTGGATGGAGGGGCACAACCAGGTGCTCCCTAAGGTCTCTGATCCTATATGGTTACCTCTTTGGATAAAGGTAAGATAGAATTCCTCCTTGCCATGAAAGAATTCTTCATTTAGCAATCTCTTCAGAAAGTGTTTGCTAAGCTCTTGCTATGCAGACCATGGAGTTGGGGACCAATGCTACAAAGAAGGCAGGACAATATCTCCATTCTCAAAGGCTTTCAGTCTAACAGGGGAATGGAATGGAGAGAAGTTTGTGAAACACTGAGATGAAACTCAAGAAGAAAGGTTGAGTGCTGTGGGAACAGAAGGAAGGGAACCGCCAACTTTGTTGGGCTGGATAAAAAGGGTGGAAGGTGGCTTTTTGGAAGAATGTGTGGGTTGAGATTTCACTGTGGCTTTAACTATTTCAGGTCACACAACAATGAAAACCAAGGTAGGAGTAACTGCTAATATTCTTCCAATTGGTTTAGAGGAATAATTCTACTGTAGTTCCAAAAAAGTCTTGTCCTAGGTAGATAAATTTTTATTACAACTATATGTCACATGCATATAGCTCCTTAGAGTTTACAAACTTAATGAGGAGTGTGGAAACTGAAGCTTAGAAATTGATGAAATGACTTGCCCAGGTCATGTTGCTCGTAAATGGTGGAGCCAGAACAGGAATCTGGGTCTTTTGAGCCTAGAGCAATAACAAAATAATGAATGTCATCAGCCCTGCCAGCATCATGGTGAGCCTTGGTTATATGTATGTGGTGGTTGTTGTTTAAGGTACCAAGTGACCTTGGATTGTCTTTCTTCCTCTGTTTTTTTGTAGCTTAATACAGAAAAGGTTATGAGATTTGCATAAATCTATTTTGAGGAGCTTCTTCTGGTGAAGAAAAAGGGAAGTTAATGATTTCTGCTTCTGTGTCTCTTAAGGAAGATCTGAAATCAAACTGAAACACAATAAGAAAGACACTGTTCCCTCTAGGTCTATAACAGTGAGAAGCTGAATCTACTCCAAGGAAAACTCAGGCTTCTAAATCGCCACTATTTCTAGTAATTTCCTACTTCAGAGTCAAAAGCTGTTCTTCCTGCCTCTAGCTAGTTTTAGCCCAAGGAAATGTATTTGAGATTGGTCTGTTGGTTTTAATGAACCAAGAAAGAATACCTGTAGCCCAGAAATGGCAATTCAGCTGTACAGCCAGAGAGGCCCCTGACAATGAACTGGCCCCTAGGACCTGGAGTAAGGAGTTAATGTGAAACTTACATAAAGCACGCCTCCCCCCCCATTCTTATCCTTAGGAACTTAGAGATAGTCATAATAAGTCTCCAACCTCTGCTATATTTCTGGGCAAGGGAATGTAGACTTTAAGTCCTTGTTGCTAATATTAGCTAGATGACTTTGAATCACTTCACCTTGCGGGGCCTCAGTTTCCTTATTGGATGAGTGGGGATAAATAATAGCACTCCGGGCTGTTGGAATCACTAAAAGAAAAACACTGTGCTAAAGTGGAGTATATTATTGTTCTTTTTCTTTATTAGTGAGGAACAGACAAGTTATAGAGGTTGAGATTTTAGTCTCTAGGTTCCAGTCACCACTCTGCCTCCTATTAGCTGTATGATCTTGGGTGAGTCACTTATCTTCTCCAAGCCTTGGTTCTTTTAGCTTTCAGGTAGGATAATAACACTGTCTAGCTTATAAGATTGTTCTCAGCATTAAATAAGATAATGCCTCAATGTCTGGCACAGGGAAGCTCTCAGAAAATGTTTATTATCATTATTATCATGATAAATATTGAAAATCAAGTCCAGCTAAACTGGAAGGAGAACAGACACTGAGGAACTGTAAGAAGAAGGTGCAGTCTGCTGGATTTCTGTTGGCTTTGTGTGAGTGTGAGTGTTGTTTTACTGCCTGCAAGGGTAGGTATTCCAGAAGAGAGTGAATAGGTCTAATGAGTAGTCTGTATTTTTGTTTTTTTCTTAGCACTGGCTGATAGTGGGCACCAGCTCCCTCCTTCTCCTCTCCATCCCCTGCTTCCTTCATCCTTGAACAGCCTGGATTTGAGCTAGTGCCCATCCTGCTCTGTCCCCATATTCCTTTCTGCACAGTCAGTGCTCATCCTCCCCCTCCTCCTTCCCCACTGTTGGGAACTTGTGCAAAAGCCCCCAGGCCACATTCCTGGCCGGCGGGGGGGG